TACAGGTTTTTTTATTTAATGTTAAGTTGCACCTAGGCTTGGTTTTCTGTTTAAGTAAATTAAAACTTTGTAAAGCTCATATCTATGATTTTATAAAAATGTTTGCTATGTAATAACGTGATATAAATATGCATTTGTGTACTTTCCGACCTTGAACTTGTGCTCTTTGATCGTGAACCTTAGACTTTCTATGTATGTCTTGTGATTGGTTTGGATTTCTTATAGCATATTTTATTTATTTTATTGTCAATCTGAAACCTGTTTGGACTAATATTGTAGATTCTTACTAGTGAAATTGAAGGAGTATGTGGTGCAATGTTTTCATTCATTAAAAAAAAATCTTTTGAAACATTTTGTTTATTTACCCCTCAGAAAATTTGACATTTCTCGATCCATGGCACTGTTCAGCATACAAGATGGGAGAAGTTTAACACAATCACAGTTGCAATGGTGGTTATTTCACACACTAAAGAGTTGTTACATTAGCTCAAATTAAATTGCCCTGTTGCCGCAGTATATGCTCAAGCAAATCTATTAATTCACATGCTGGAGGAAATGTACTTGTGTTGCACGTGGCACCGGCGCGGCGGTGTCTCTGCACACTGCAGGCCGCTGCCGCTCGAGTTCCTTGTGATGCTGATGAGCACGGATGACCTTGAAGACGTCAATATTCGGACAGTAGTCTGACCAACTGTTATTTGTTATTATTTTTGTTGTTTCTTTTTTTATTTGTGGTGATTCTTGGTTCAGCTCCACTTATCATGTGTGGCATAGTCCCTGACTTTTCTTCTGATTTATCAATCTGGTAACTGAGGTATAATCCTCATTAACAGTCCTTGCTTTCTTAGTGGCAAACAACTTAGAATTAGTGAAAAGTAAGCCTTGAATTGGTATTCCACTTTTGAGTATTCCAATATTTTTGTTGTCAATGTGTTAGCCACCTTAGTATAATTGCAGAATTCTCTTCAAGCATTCTCACAATTTACTGTTCCCTTCATCCTTATCAAGACATGAATAAATCCTTTTCATTTTGTTGAAATTTTTGCCCTCTTCCATTTCAGAGGATATAATTTTTTATAGTAGAAATCATATAAATGAAATGTCTCATCAACTTGATTGTCTAGGCCAGCAAACAGATGACAACTGTAAGTTAGTTTCTCATTCATCTCGTACAATTACAGCCGCATAAAGACCACCTTAAATATTAACCTGATTTTGTTTGTTTTAGTTTTACTGGATTCCAGACTTTTGGTTGAGAATGCTCCAAATACAGTTGTGTCAAATAGCAGTACTTTTCCAGGGAGCTCTAATATTTTGATCTTGGAGCAACCAGCTTCTTTGGTACGTTTTCGCTATGAGAGTGAAGGTCTTTATCCAACACAAGGAGCTACCAGCACAGCAATGAAGAAGACATTTCCAACAATACAGGTGAAATGTAAAATCTACTAATAATACCACCCAAAACATGTACCTTTCTGTCTTGGATATTATTACTAACTGAAAGTGACTTACAATTTTAATTCACTGATACAAATCTTTTTCTTTTGTATTTACTGTACCTTAACACTTTGAGGAGGCTGAACGATAAAAACTTCTGCTGGTGGTCGCCACCACTATATTAACCTCTAGTCAAAACTACTCAAAATCTCACCCAAACCTGAGACAAGATAACTGTAATAGTTAATTTTTACAAGGAAATATTTGCGATGTCAACAGCTAACTCATGTTTTCTGCTTTTAGATTGCTAACTTCGATAGACTGGCTACAGTGATAGTATCATGTGTAACAAAAGATCAACCTTATCGACCACACCCACACTGCTTAGCAGGAGATGACTGTAAGTGGGGAGTCTACCAGAAACAAGTTCACAGCAGTGTCATATCCTTCCAAAAGTTAAGTGTGCAATTTACTAAGAGGAAGCACATTGAGGAGGTAATGCTAGTACGACAACAAAAAAATATTGACCCATTTCAAAGTGAGTGTTAGTCTGTTGCTTCTTCATTGCCCTTCGGACAAAATTTGCTGATTTAGCTTTAACTTACAAAAAGCTTATAGTAAAATTTAATTTTTCTCATGTAGCTGGTTTTGACCATTGTAAGCAGCTAGATCTTGAGAGCATTGATTTGGATGCAATTCGTCTTTGTTTGCAAGTGTTTACACTCACCAAGAAAAAATTTGAATCCAAAACAGAAAAAAATCTGGCTGATAAACACTGGAAACAATTGGGTGTAGCTGTATCTGAACCAATTTACAATAAGAGTGAGTAAGACTGAATCTTGTGAACCAGAAAATAAACATCAGGAAAAAAAAAGAACAATTTTCTGAACAGAGTTTTTATTTTTTTAGAGGCATGTACTAATTTGAAAATTTTGAAGTTGAGTCACAGCAGTGCTTTTGTCGATGGTGGGAAAGAAATCTTAATGTTTTGTGAAAAAGTTGTAAAAGGTACTCATCGTTTTTACTTTATTATCTTGATACTACACTGCATATGTGTGCTATATTTTAAGTTGTTTGTTTGCCCTGGCAGATGATGTTGAGATCAGATTTTTTGAACAGAGGGACCAAACCGGACCAGTGGAGTGGGAAGCTCTTGGTCAGTTTCACCCCTCCAATGTACATAAGGGATTTGGTATAGCTTTTCGCACACCACCTTATAAAACTTTAGAGTTAAGTTGAGAAAATATTTAATAAATTGGTTGCAAATGTTATTCGGTTATCTTTCTTCAGCAAAATATATCTTCTTTTGAATTTTGTAGGTTGAAGCACCTGTTGATGTTTTTATCCAGTTGAGACGACCATCTGATAATTCTGTTGGTGATGCTGTGCCATTTCAGCTTCGGCCCCCAGAGTGTTGTAAGGTTCAATGGCATTCAATTTATTGGTTTTAACGAATTTTTATGACACCTTTTTCCATGTCTGTTACAGTGTCTTTCAGACAAAAAAGACGAAAGTGTGCTGCTGACTCTAATTTAAGTATGTGCGGATTCCTTGTCAGATTCTGACAGGTTTACTTCCTAATTTGTAGTCCCTCCAGGTACTTATATTTATCAGAATTGTGATTAAAATTATATTTTTAGATCGGAGATTGCAGGGCATAACTCAAAGTACCCCTACTTCAAAAATGATGTGCTCCGGTTCAGACACATTCTATGGGGGTAACAATGTTGTGTATGATGCTCCTGTATCTCAACAGCAACAACCACCACCATCACAATTGGTAATTTACCGCAGTTCTATTTCATAATTTAGTATCTAACTTAGCTGCACATTTTCTTGAGAACCGGACAAGTGTAAAATGTCCCTCCTTTTCAGTCATATTCAGATTCCTACGGACCTGTTTTCCAACACTCAAATTTATTGAATCTTAATTCCTACACGGAAGAACAAGCCAATAGCTTGTCCTTAGATCCACTGGCACAAATTAGCAACAGAGTAAGAAATTAATGATAAAATAAGTAATTATTTTCATAAAACCGGTATTTTTCATTATTCATCTATTATTTCTTTTTTTCACAGCAGGGCCTAAACACTGTGTCAGATATGATTGAACCTTCCATGGCTGTGACATCCCTCTTACATTATCCTGACCCTAGTTCGTGCAGCTTGGTAAATATATCTAGCCCACCTTTTTATTTTTTATTTTTTCAAACCAAGCGGAAACCTAATTTTTCACTTTTATTTCTAGACATCTACATCCCCACATCTGCTCCGATCTCAAGAGGAATATTTTTCTGGCATGAGCAGAGATTGGATTGAGAAGAAAGAAGCTGCATACCCACCAAGTGAAAAACTTCTGCCCATATCATCTGCATATCATGAATCAGGCAAATCACATGCACCTGGTTTTAATGTTGAAGAGTTGAATGCTGAGCAAACCGCACAAGCATGTGACAAAGTTGTCAATAATGCGACTTACAATAATAATTTTCGAGTTCTTCAAAGTCAGAAAGATGAATATAGTGTGATAGATAATTTGTCTGGGTTACTGGAGGATCTCAAATATTGATCAGGTTAATGTGCTGTTCAACTTTTTACTTATCTCTCCAAAAACAGTTTGTCTTTTTTTTTTTTCCTGAACTGATGTATAGTGTACACCTATATTAAAAATATGAATATCTATCTATATATTCCACAGCTAATTCCAAAAGTCTTTAATTCTTCTTAATAGGGCTACAAACAGTGCCAGCAGAAGCAGTCCAAGGACATAAATGATGACCAGTTTGAAAGATCCTGGAGATGTGTGCGAGAGTTCCACATCAGGCTCGGCGGGGAGGGGCCTCAGTACGGGTCGGAGGCTCGAGGCACACTTGTTCTGTGGAGGAGGAGAAGTAGAAGTGCACTTAACATCTGAAGGCAAGACTTGTCAGTACACTACCGAAGCAATTACTCACAGTAAAAACAAGATTTGTTAGATTGTCGTGAAGGCTCTGGAGTTGAAGCGCGACATCCAGGCCGCAGTTGTCGCTCACCATCCGGAGGCCACACATGATAAAATCGTTAATTGCACTGTTGAAAAAACCATGATGCAGGGCGTTAAATCACAGAGCATGATTTTTTTTTATCGATCGAAATATGTCTTCCGACTTGCGGAGCTGTCTGAGTTGCCGAAGGGGTGCACCCGAGCGCCGGGCAGGTAGGCCACCCAACGTTCTCGGCCGCGAGGCGGCGTGGGGCACGCCCGGCGCTAGCCACCCCAAGGCTGTGTGCGCGCACCCTACACGACGCAGTGAACACGTCGTCGTGTTTTCTGACCTGATTTGATGAAGCCAAGCAACTCACATGTCTAGCTCCCGATAGGGTAGCTTAGGGCTTAGGGTCCATCCAAGCAGATTGACAATCCAGACATTACATTGCCGTATGCCTGTGGCGATCGGGCTTGTAGCTAACTGGTGACTCCGTTTCCATGGGTTTTCCACGAGGATTGTGTCCCTGCCGCTCATGGCGTGCGTAGGTACATATGGAAGGTTTTGGACTGGGGTCGACTTCCTCTCTCCCGAGATTTGCCTTGCCTGCAGAGCGGCGTCCGGAATGTTCCGACGGCATCGGGGTCGTAGAGGCTGTCGATGAGGGCGGTGGGGCCAGGGCGGCCGTCGACGCCCTGGTCGTTGACGTGGTCGTAGAAGCGGTCGCCGCATTCCGAGCGGCGGCCCCTCGCCTCGCGGAGGCACGCCCCGTGCGTCACGAGCACTGGGAGAGAAAGGGGGGGGG